ATGCATCTATATATATTTATACACATTCTCGTGAGATCTATCAGGGGTCGTTGTAAGTTAAAGCGCAAACTGTTACTTGGCTAATGTTGTTATAATTCTCAGTGTGTGAACACAGGTCGAAAATGGAAAGATTTCTCACAAGTCAGCGTAAACGACCGCGATCTCCAACGGAGCCGGTCCAGCCGGACAACCCTCTGTGTGTGTGTGTGTGTGTGTGTGTGTGTGTGTGTGTGTGTGTGTGTGTGTGTGTGTGTGTGTGTGAGAGAGAGAGAGAGTTGTGATGAGAGTGTGTGTGTGTGTGTGTGTGTGTCTGTGTGTGTGTGTGTGTGTGCGTGTGTGTGTGTGTGTGTGTGTGTGTGTGTGTGTGTGTGTGCACATCTGTCTGTCTGTTTGCAGTGTGGTGATGAGGTTAAATGCCACAGTATGCCAGTTGAAACAGTGAACGATCGCTATTGTGTACTTGTACGCTTAGGGTGTAATGGTATTATACAAAAATATTGTAGGAGCACAGAAATAGCTTTCAAATTCTGCTTTTACAAACTTATTTTGGTGCTTACCTTGCAAAGTAATGTTATAAGTGTCAAAGGAATGTTAATGTAAATATTAATGATAATATTGTAGCGTGTCTAAGTTAATAGTTAAGTCAGTTATCAGATTTGCACAGTTTTAGTACATTTGTAAAGTTATTTAGGCAATGTTGTTGGTGGGAGTTAGGGAGAGACTGCCCCTTCCAGGTGTGTGTGTGTGTGTGCGTGCGTGCGTGCGTGCGTGCGTATTTTCCGGTGTGTGTGGAGGGAGTACGAGACGGTAGGAGTTGTGTTCGAGTGTGGGGAAAAGTCATAATGAGTGTTATACTATTGATTGGTTCTGTAAGGCATGGCAGTGGTCATCAATACCAGAAAATAAAGAGAACGTTTTCGACATTGAAGGCTCGAGTGATCTGTGATCTTGAATAGCGGTGAACGCTACAATATTCAGGCTCGTGCTTGGCCCACTGGTACTGTTTGTTTATTTATTTTTTAAATTAACTAGCAATGCCGTGCTGTCATATAGCAACTGCTAAGCTACTGCAGCAAAAAAAATCCTAGCCCCAATCCTTTTTACCATAGCATGGTCAACACACAGATTGAGAATTGAGAATTTAAGCTTCTTCCTTTCAGGGCCGGAGGTTAGTCTCAAAGTGTAGAACAAAGCGGTATGAAAATAGCTTTGTTCCACATAAATGAACAAGTTGTGGCAGTATCAGACAGATTCTTTGGTAGCAATGCCTATTTATTTATTAACCCTCAGGATTGCCCATGTTTGTACTAGTGGTTTTTATTTTTGAATGTTTTTATATGTGACGGAGCAGGGGGTCTGTGTTGTTTTAGAAAGTATGTCATAATGCATCATTTATCTTCTATCTGCAAACCAAATCGACCTACCAGTATAAATAAATAACCTAAGGGTATCTAAGTAATTTGAATAATTACCCCCCCTTCAACCAAAATCACACTGAATGTAAAAAAATCTACTTTCTTACTGCTCTGGTACAAAGATTCAAAGGTTCTATTGTCATAAGCACAATAGCTACAGTGTAGTTATGGCAATGTAAATCGTAAGTCCGGCTACAACATAAATATATATATGACATAAAATAATAAAAATAGTGCAAGGAAAACAGAATAGAAACAAGATAATACACAATAATTTTGCAATTGACAAATATGCAAGTAAATACGTAACCAGTAAACTATATACATGCAACATAGAATAGACCTATGCAGAACGTAAATAATATAAAGTGAAGAACTCACATTTCTCCGTTGATGTACTCCAGTCTTTTTGTGACAGTAGCTTTGGCCTCATCCAGGTCTTGCTTCACTAATACTGGGCCAATAAGCTTATACACTGTGTTTTTTGTGTCCAGCAGATCAAGCTCCTGGAAAGGAAAAGAGAGGGAAAGATGAGATATGTCATTTTGCAAAGTCCAATAGTCAACATTACTGGCAAACATATTCTGACAGTGAATTAATAATCCTGAACAATTTCTTACCTCTTTGACAATGTTGTTCTCTGCGAGCTGCGTCTCCAGCTTCTGTCTGGCTGACACGCTCTTGCTAACATCTAAACAACAGAAAGTTATTAGTAAATTATGTGAATAATTCACCATACAAAGCTGTGTAAACGTACAATAAATGTCTAGCAAGTTCATTTAAGTATAGCTAGCTAGCGGTCCTAATATGGTCAGCTAGCTCCACACAACATGGCATGATGTGAGAAAGCATGCAATGCTAGCATGCTCTTACCTTTCTGCATCTGTGTATATTTTTCTACTTCCACTTTCAGCTTCTTCTGAATGGCCTCTGCCATGTTTTTGTTTGGTCGGTGAAAGTGCTATAGACTGGATAAATGTATCAAAGAGGAATCGTTTATTAGCTAAATGTGATATGAGTTGAAAGCTCTGCGTTAGCTAACCGGAAAGGGCTGCGGCTGTAGAGGATATGAGCCGAATCCCTTCAAAGTAAAAGCCCACACTACTTCAGAGTTGTATGATGACAAACAAATAAGCACACGTTAACACCGGAAATAAGCGAGCGAATATCAAAACCACCCTAAAATGCATATATTTATTCTTCGTTTAATGGAATTTAGTTATCTTCGATTTCATCTAGTGATGTTATTTGACCCTGTATGGTTGCTGCTGTTTACGACATCGTTTTACGACGTTGCTTTACGACACTGCACAAAGTTCCTCATCGCTCTGGATCAAGATGGCCTCATCGTTTTGGAAAGGTGTTGTCGGCGTCGGACTCTTTGCCTTAGCTCATGCAGCTTTTTCAGCCGCACAGCGTAAGTCTCCGTGCAGGGACTGGGAACACGACTCTCTGTATCTTTTTTTAGAACAAGAGGGCTCCGTTGTTACCGGGTATGAGTGTATCACTGCCGGATGGGCCTCTCGGGCAAACGGCGAGCTATCTCGATGCTAGCGCAGTTTAGCCCCGTTCATTCGCAGCGGTGAAACACTGAAATCTGCTATTAATGTTAAATACCAACGCCAGTGACAAACGACGTTGAAGGTGACTAACTGTAGTTGAAAAAAAGGAAATCAATGCTTTTATGATTCATTATAAGAATAGCAACTATTGTATAGGAATTAAATGTATATCCCTATAGTCAATATTGTAATTAATGGTATTGTAAAACCTTTACATGCGTCTTCATATTTCCAAACTGCTTGAGTTCCGAGCTAAATGGGGAAACAAATTAACCCTTTACATAAAGCTGGAAATAGACAACATTTTACAATGTAATTACAGGCCTGTTTCCTTTCATTCTTACTTGAATTTCTAAAAATGTTTCCTAATTCTACTGACAAAAAATATGCAGTTATTATAGATTTAAAAAAAAGCATTTGATACCATTGATTATTTTAAATTGCTCAAAATGTTTAAAGGTGATATAATAAAAGAGGGGTTGTCCTGGATTAGAGTAGAAGCTATCCATGAAACAGGCATGCACTTAATAAGATTAGCATAAATCACCATATGTATGTTAATTGTGGAGTACCCCAGGGGTCAGTATTAAGCCCCAAACCGTTCATATTCTACATAAATTATATATGCAAAGTATATAAAAATAAAATTTGTATTGCTTTATTAACTAATCAAAATGTTCCTTCTCCTGTCAGACATTACATATTAATTGAGGTTGTTTATTTACATTTTATTTTAGAGTTGTTGTATGAATAAAAGGTTTCTTTCATCTTTAGCTTATCAATCCACCTGAGCTGTATTTATTAAATATATGTTTTTTACTCCCATCAGATCGATCATACATGCGACTCACAGAGAAGGAAGATGAGACACTACCAATTGATGTAAGTTACTCATATTGTCTTAACCTTTGACAACAAAACCCAAAAGTATGTGCTATATCATCGTCTTTGTTCCTGCAGATTGTATTACAGACCTTATTATCGTTTGTGATGACCTGTTACGGTATTGTCAACATTGCTGGAGAGTTCAAAGACATGGATGCCTCCTCAGAGCTCAAAAACAAGTAAGTTGAGTTGCAGCATCATCTCCCATGATAATTAGGTTGTTTGTGTCGTCTGCCATAAGGGAATCGGGCTTAACTGCATTTATAGTAACAGTTTGAATCAATTCCCTGATATACACAATGAACCTCCCCAAGCTGCTGTTTCTTATATATATAATATGTCTTGAAGGCTAGATGCAACTTCAAATCCATCACTATAGGAGTTGTTTTAATCATCTTTAACCATAATGTAAATAGTAAACACTTCATACAGATTTGTCAAATAATCAAATGTATGCTGTGATGAACTGGACATTTCTTAAACTAACGACACAAAATAGTTTCAGATTTCATTAACTCTATTTTTCTCAAATTCATAAACATGAACATTTTCAAAAAATGGGCCAATCATCCATAATAATTTAGATCTAAAGGGGTTTTGAACTTATATAATTATTTATAATCTTAAGCTGTTTTATGAGAGTCAAAACTACATGATGTCATCGTACACAATTGTAGAAGTTAGATTCTTAGGAAATAGTCATATCGTGGTCAAGTATACTTGCTTTGTCTAACTTATGTTTCTAAAATGTGAAATGTATAATTATACATAACCAGGGTAGGATGTTTTTCTTAGATATTAGTATTCTATTAATGCCTATTTCTGAGTCGATAATAGACACAACCCCACATATTTGTTGCACCTTTGACTAATACCTCAATCGCACTTTGAAAAGATATAAATGTCCCGTTTCAATATTACTATTGTTATTATTCTTATGATTATTTATACCAGCAACTACTTTGATACCGGCCCAAAATAGAGCTTATAATTAACATTCATTTCCTTAAATTTGAAAGATTGATTTCTACTTTGTATCATAGCTTGCCAAGAACACTTGTTGTCAGTTACACGATGATTGCATTGCTCACTGCTCTGAGTTGCACCTGTATTTCATTTGAAAGCAGAACAATATTTGCCCCATGTCAGTCTTTTTACATCTTAATCTTCATTTTTCCAGAACATTTGATACACTGAGGAACCACCCATCCTTTTACCTTTTCAACCACCGGGGTCGGGTGCTATTCCGCACGCTGGAAGAGGAGCCGTCCTCCGCACGCAACCAAGCGCTCCCAAACCCCTTACGGCTACGCAAGCTGGAGAATTTGCATTGAGACTGGCCTTTCCTGCCTGTAACACCAACAACGTCAGTTAACATTTGTTTTTGTTAGACAGAAGGGGGAGCCTGCCTTCCTCGACTTTATTTTGTTTTTGTACATAAACTAATATGCTGTCCAAACATGCATCTCTGTCCATAAAAGTGGTCACCAACCATACTCAACACTGACTGTGCCAACCCTTCAACTTTTCAAGCCGATTTGTTTGTATATACAGTGTGTAATCGCTTTGGAGTCTTAAGATACGGAGACCTCTGCCCCTTTTTGTCCCTTCTGAACTCAAATTGGGATATTGCTGTCCTTTGTATATCCTTTGTATGAGGGGCAAAAAAATGCCTGTTACTGTTTCATTTCAACCGCACCATCAGTCCTCAGCCACCATCTGGGCCAGCATTTTGTGAACTGAAATGAGTTTTGTTGTATGAACCGGAGCCTTTTAATTCCCTTGATGGTTTCCTGGAAGCATAAAGGCTCATCTTTACTTCCTGTTTGCATTAAAGAGGTTCTGCTTTATGCCACAGGAAATCCACTCAAGGCGAGATGTAAGAGCAGAAGAAAGCGTTAGGCAGCCGTTCCACTGATACTGTGAACACTAATGAGAACTAGAAAGTATAGGTACATTCATTTTGGTGAAGTTTGTTTTTCCTTCATTTTACATTAAGATTCAACATATGTTTTTAATTTAATAAAAGGCTTACTGATTTTACAAAGCGTCAATGTATTTATTTTGTCTTACATTTCATATTCGGAGGCTGGAGTATTGCTTTGGCCTGACAAAAGGGATGAAATTGCAGTAAAAAAGAGGACATTTTTGTTATTAGTGCTCTCTTCTTGACAAATGTGTAATACATGCAGTTTTATCACAGATTAAAGTCCTTGGCCCATAGAAGTGGACATTGTTAGTGTAACATTGAAAATTCTAAGATTTTCCAATGACCTTGTTGCTTGACTGCTGCATCAGAAGAAGAAAAATGTCCACCTGATCACGTTTTCATGTCGGACTCTAGGTGGCAGCAGAAGCTGAGTTTTTAGCCTGGATTACAAAGTCAATAACCGTTATATTTCTACAACAGGTATTTTATGTCAATGTACCCCTCATTTGCGGTGACTTTAACTCTGTTTAAATAATAACATAGGCAGTTTATTTTTGAAATACGGATCAATCTAATGAAATACAGATGAAACTGTTGCCAAAGGACTTATTTTTGTTCTGAATATTGTGGAAAGGCATTTTTGCTTTTTTTTCTTAAATAACAATATAGACTTACGTTATAGCATACATTATTACGAAGTTATTACGAGTGAGTTTTTCTTTTTAGAATTTGAATTCATTCAAATAACAATAAAAAGCAAGTCATGGCTCCTTCTGTTGGACCAGTAAGTTACATAGTTATAAAATGATCTAAAGCCCAAAGGAAAACAAATTAAGGTTCCATGTCAGCAGTTTTACCGAGGAGCCGGACTGGCGGTTACCATTTATGATACAACATTTGTTAATAATGGCAAGATGTGAAGCTGTTTCTGCATTTTATGCTTTCCAGACGAAGGTTAGAAATAAACAGACACACAACGGGAGATACCATTTATCTGGTTTAATTCTTTGTTTTGTAAAAAAAATGGTTTATAATATTTAGACCAGTTTAAAAAAATGGCTTTAAAACATTTCATTGCAAAAATATTCTTATACTCTGAAATAAAGCAAATTCATAAAAATACATGCTATATTCACCTTATGAATCATTAAAAAGTAGTGTAGAATCTGTCGTAAAAACAAGAAAAAGAAAAAAAGGAGGAGCCCGCCAACTTGTGTTGATGTAGAGAAGCAGGCGAAGTTCACCAAAGCTGTTAAGCAATTCCAACAGGTGACTGAAGCCAGCTGGGACCGTTTGAATTACGGCAATCATGGAGCGTTTGTGGAAGAAATGTGTGGACTCCCGTGGGAGAGGTAAACTGAATGGACGACGCGACAGATGCGATTCCTGACCCTCAATGTCCTAATTGCGTAAGGCAGGTACTAAGATATTAATGAGAACAGCGAAAAGTCAAGTCGGACATGTCCCGGTGCAGAATGCGGCTGATTCATCTTTATACCTATAGTGGCGTTCATCATTTGAGCGGGCTTAAAAACCACTAGTGTCGGGAAATTGGTGTCAAGTAGCACACTGTCAATTTAGTAAACAAAATGGCAGTCCAATTTTATAAAAACGGGGGTCCTATTCATAGATTAAAGCGAGGTTTATTTACGTGTTATATTAGGTTTGGCGATATGGACAAAAACATACGCATACACGAGTCAGGA